CCCCCCCCCCCACCTTCCCTCTGGGGCTCCTGACTAAACTGAGAACGAGGTAGGTGTAGGGAGAGCCCCCAGGCTGAAAGGATGGGGACGTCACCGAGACCTGAGCTGACGTCTAGGTACCTAACAAACCACCACGCTCCCAGAGTGGCTCCTGTCAGCCGGGCCACCTGAGTGGGAGTGCCCAGGCCTTGGCACCAACCTGGGCAGTCCAGGCCTGCCGTGCCCGCAGCGGGGCCAGAGCTGGCGGCGCCTCACAAGCACAGCCAGCATCAGCAGCACAAGGATCTGAAAGGAGAGCACAGAGCAGGACGTGGGCGCCCAGACCTTTCCCTGAGGGGCTGAGTCTGAGGGCTTGGCCTCGATGCCCAGGACGCCCCCTCCCTCCTCTTCCCCCAGGGCACAAGCATGAGGCATACTGGGGACTGGCCAGAGAGAGGTGGCCAAAGTCTGAGAGGTTGGACTTGGCTGCATCTTGGTTGGGGTCCTCACCCTGGGAGAGCTCCCGGGGTCCCCCCTCACCAGCCTCAGCAGGGAACGCAAGAGCCCCTGCCCGGCCTGGCAGTTGGTTGCAAGCCAGTCCGGACTCAGGTTGGACTCACCGACAGCACAGCCAGGCAGGCGTGGAGGAGGCCGGACAGCACGCTGGGGTGGCAGGAGGGTACTTCCCTGCAGAGCGAGGGAAGGCTGGGTCAGGGCCGTGTTAGGGACTCCCTTGGGTGTGCAGCCAGGTTCGGGGTCCCAGGCGGTCTACCCTGGGGCTCCACCCCCCACCCCCCTCAACCCTCCGGTCTCTCCTACACAAGCGTGCCCAGTTCCACCTTCTCAGGGTCACTCCAGGGTTTTCACGCCCCTCGTGGTGTGCCAGCCCCGTGCCAAGCTCTGAGGTTACAGCGCTGAAGGAGACAGGGGGCTCCCAGGGGAAAACATGGGAGAAACAGAGTGGGCCAGCTGGACCTGGACCCCTCTTCTTTCTCACCCACATTCTTCCTATCCTTCAAGGCCCACTTCATTCCTCCTTCCTCCAGGAAGCCTCCCTGACTGCTCCAGCCCTCATAGACCTCTCCTTCTCAGCACAGTGGTTGAATGTTATTGCCTGGGTCAAGCAATCAAGTGTTTGGCCCTATGATTTGGCCCTTTGATTTGAGTTTAAAAGACGGTTAGCACCTGCTGAGGCAAAGAAGGGGAATAGTAGCTCCGTGTAGAGGAAGGAACATGAGGCGGTCGACCGCGTGGCCGGGGCCAGGCACTTTCAGTTTACAGTCTACAGGGGGGAGGGCAGGCCCGAAGCAGGTCGCAGCAGGCCTGAGAGGCACTAGGGAGCCACTGAGGGTGTTTGAACAGGGTGGTTGTTCTGGATTTGGGGAGATTTCTGTGATTCAATTTGAATCACAACAGCAGCAAGTAATACTTACAAAGAATTTGACTAAGCGCCAGATGCTGTCTGTTCCCTGTCTTAACTCAGGCATTACCTAAGAGGTGGGTGCTATCATTGTCCCCCTTGTTCAGACAAGGAGACCCAAGCTCAGAGAGGCTAAGTATCTTGCCCAAATCACACAGTTAGGAAAGCAGCAGAGCAAGGATTCGAACTGAGGTCACCTGGCTCCAACGCCCACATCTGACCGGGCGGGAGAGGTAAGGAGCGTGAAAGGAGGTTTTAAGTCGAACCGTATGAAATGGTCATTTCCGTACATCAAAAGTCTTTGAGAATCGGCATTTTCAAGCAGTTGAGCACAAGCCGTGGCTGGGGAAGGGGGATGGCAGGGTGCGTCTCAGACGTGTGTAGGAGGAAGAATGTACGTGCCTGGAGACAGGATAGTAGAAGGAAGGGGAGTTTCCAGAATGACCGCTGAGTTCTAGGCCTTATCCCAAGATGAGAGGTGAGGACCAGAATCACATGTAGCCAAGGAAGCCCGGGCTTGGTCTCAGACACTCAGTGGTGGTGAGGACACTGAAGCAGAGGGGCAAGACCGCTGTTCCTAGACGTTAGGCTCTGAGCCTACAAAGGGCCCCACTCAGAGGGAAAGGCAAGCACATCTCTCTGGGTTGGGAGGGAAAGGCTGGCTGGCTGATGTGGGGGGGCCTGATACCCTCCCCCCACCGCCACAGCAGAAGGGCCTGGTGTTGGCCTCTTGCTGGGAGGCAGGCCAGGAGGGAAGCCTCCAATTCCCCTTTGAAGTGAGGGGGCGGGGGAGGCGAGTGTCATCCTGGACGGCTGCCACAGGCATCTGTGTCCCCAGGCTCTGGCTGAGAAGGTCAGTATTGGTGAGGAGGGGATAACACATGGGCAGATGTCGGGCTGGGCACACGACCTGTTCAGAGGGGCTCCGGGGGGTAGGAAAGGGTCAGCTCGGCTTACTTGGAGCAGTCCTATGCCCACAGAAGACCCCAGATGACACAGCTCACCCCATCAGACTCACTGCCCACCCCCCAAGCTTTTCTACCATGAGGGCCCCTGGCTAAGTGTGACCAGGAGACAGTCCAGCCAGCCACTGTCACCAGTGCCCACCAGCCTCAACCCCAGCCTGTTGGGGCACACTGACGTGCCAAGGGGGACTACCATCAGGAACTCCTCAAAGCTTTGTGCACCATCTCCCTGGGGTGTCTGACTCACTCAAGGAGAAGTGAGCCCAAGTTCATCTCCTTGGGATTCCCCTGAGCTTCCACCTTCGGGGGTGGGGTTTGGGGGACAAGCAACTAGACTTGGATTGGCCAAGTAAGTCGACTCAAGCAAACCTCCTCATTCTTCCCTGGGGCGGGAGGAGGGAGCTGCAAATCCCAGATGCCACGCACATGACAGGCAGTGCTCCCCATCACGCAGGCCCTGCTATGTACCCAACTTCATTCTGAGCCATATCTGAAGAGCCCGGCCCCAACCAATCCCCCCGGGGCCCTGAGGCTCCCAAGGACTCAGCTGCAGATTAAGGTCTTAACCCAAGTCAGGATCTGTGCCCTCATGGGTTCCTGGGCCCCTCCCCGTTCTGCTACTTCTCCCGCCCCCCAAATATGCAGCAGGGACGAGGGGAGCCCACAGACTGTCCAGATCAGCTCGGGAAGGGGGTGGGAAACCCCTTGCTGACCGCGGAACTGCTGACCAGGTGGCCAGCATCCTGAGTGCTCCAAACAACAGCAGCCTCCCCCAGGCCTGGGTGGGGCCTCTGTCCCTGCTGGGTGACCCAAGCCTGGCCCAGCCGCAGCCCCAGCCCCTGGGGAGGCACACAGGCATGTCTCCTTCTCCAGTTTCCACTGTTGATGGAGAGCAGATGTGTATACATCTGGCTCCGCACCCCACCCCCCCAGCCTCACCTTTCCAGTACTGTAAGCCCTCAGACAGAGGAGGGGGGGGGTGGGGGTTGGGGCCAGGGCCAGGAACAGGAAGGGGAGAACAGGGCTCTGGGGCCCACACAGGCGAGGAGTCCTCGGCGGCCTGTGGGGCCCAGGGAGCCCCGGCCCCTCTGCCGGGGTGCCCAGACTCAACAAAGATAGGGGCTGGCAAGTCCTCTGGCCGCACTTGACCGCGCTGTGGTTGCCCCCTGCCCCTGGTCTCGCCTGAGCACTCCTGCAAAAATGAAAGGACCCCCTCATCTTCATGGAGACTCAGAGCCAGCCAAAGGCAACAGGGTGGTATGTTTCCTCAAAGACTTTCTTTCCTCAGGTCTCCCCCTGCCCTCGCCTGCCCAGAGAACCTGACACTTGCGAACACCACGCCCCAGATGGTCACCACAGGCACCAGTAACCCCTTGAAGGCAGGCCCAACTTCCCTCAACCACTCACCCAGCATTCACTCTCCAACCCAGCTGGAGTCACCCAGGGAGCCGCCCCAGACTGGCAGGATCTGAATTTGCAGGGATGGGGCCCAGGAGGTTGTATTTTTAACAAACCACACGGGTGCTTTGTAAGTGACAGTCCAGCCCAGGTCCCCCTCAAGTACCAACATCAGGGCAAGGGCTGTTATTCCCACGTAACAAGGGTCTGAAGCCCAGAGAGGCTGTAACTTGCCAAGGGTCACACAGCAAATGAGTGACATGGTTCATCTTAGCAGTCCTGGCCCAGGGGCTTCCCCATCCCCCCACCGGTGACCTCGGCCACACCCCACTCTCCTGGGGGACAGAGCCAGGGCTTCCAACTTACCCCTCTGGCTGGAGCTCCTGGCCACCCTGGGGCTCGTCGATGTACCAGTTGCCATAGGAGTAGTCATCCGTGGCTTGAGAAGAGGTCTGGTTCCCCACTGCCTGGGACGACATTCTCTGGCCTTTCTCCTTGCCCCCGCCCCCAGACAAGTCAGGGAAAAAGCCACCACCGATACGAAAAGAGGCTTAGGAGGGGGGGGGG